CTTCCTGGGCAGCAAGCTGGTGGGAGATGGGCGAAGCCTCTGAAGGGCCCTGGACGAAGCACTCGGGTCACGGTCACCATGCCAACCCGCTGGGACTAGTACACGCATGCTTGGGCGCAAGTCCTTGGTTCTGCTGCTTGCGCAATAGAGGTCTACCTGGGCATGCCAGCCTTTTATGAGACGCTTACTTGACCATCTATAAACATTTCTGGTTGGGGACTCGGATTGAATCTGGCTGTGATCGTCGTCCTGATTGCGACGTTAAATAATTCCTGAAGAGATGGGGGCGCTCTTTAAATTCCTCCTGATCAGCCAGATCAACCGGGTGTAAGGCTCATTTCCGTACGAAGGTAAATAAGAGTGGACTGACTGGCATGTTCAGCAAAGACTTGGGGCACAGGGGTGGGCCGGATTGCACACCTTCAGACACGCTTCTTAAACCAGATGCTCAGGGACGTTGACACAAAGTGATTACTCAAGAAGGATACAGGGGGAGGGGGGATTCCGGTAACTGTTCGCAGTGGCAATCAACAGACAATCTGCCATCAAGCATACATCTCCAACAGGAGATGTTATTTTTGTTTTGATTATCTAGTTGTTGCAGACTTGCTGACAACTGACAGACAACTACAGATAGGCTAGATCTTTGCTGTATTGCAATCTGTTCCAGGGTAATCTAAAAATAGAATTAATATATCCTGTAGGACCTGACATTAGTTGTAACTATATCACCTAACTGTTTTGTCCCAACCGACCGAAAGTAGTTGAGTTTCATAATCGGTTGTGTGTCAAGCTAAGGTAGGATTCAGTGTGGATTCTAGTTTAGATCACACACACTGTAGCTCATGAGTGATGCAAGCACAAGTGAGGATGAGTTACTAGTGGATGACCATAGGACTACTCGCAGGACTGCCCGCGGTCGACCCTTGACATTCTTGGAGTTAGCTCCAGGAGAAGAGAGAAGATTGAGGAGAGAGGCTAAAGAGAGGACAGCGGCAAGGAGAGCGAGGGCAGCTGAGGACAGTGCAGCCATGGCTACGTCCTCCATGACGCAAGCCTCTACACAGGCCACTTCGTCAGGTGTCAGTCAGAGTGGTACTCAGGGAGCCATTAGTCAGATTGGTCATGTGCGAGTCAGCCAGTCTCCACTCACGCCGGAGGACTTAGAAATCCGGTAGGCAGAAGAACTTCAGGATGAGTTACAACGGCAGATGGATGATATAGTAGAGAGGAGAAGGAAAGCTATGCAAAGAAAGGCTAGACTAGAGAGTAGAATGCGGGATCTAAACAGACTGGAAAGACTAGATGAGTCAACATTAGATCCTGTTGTCCGTGTTCTGCGAGGCGCCTTACTTTAAGTGGCGGAACCACAAAGCGTTCAGCAGGAACTGTTGGCTGATTTGGTAGCAGGCCAGAAACAAATTTTGGCTGAACTTCGGGGCCCTCGCACTATGGTGAGGCCTCCACAGTTTGCTGTAGTTCCCCCTGCAAGTGCGGGTCCATCATCGATGCCACAACGCACAGGGCAAACTTTCTCTCCCATGTTTGGTATGCCCTCCTCAGGTGGTTTAGTAGCAACTAGTGGTCCGGTTCCTTCAGTCTCAGCCGTACCATCTACAACAGTGGTCACTACAGTACCATTGTCAAACCAGGCCCAGGTTAGTATGCAACAGCCTGTTTCAGTGGCTATGCAGCTGCTGCAGCAAGCACCTGGGCCCATGCAGCCTATGCAGTGGATGCCCAAGATAGCTTTGATGAGTCTCAAGCCCTTCTCTGGCGATAAGAAGAAGGAGGAAGACTTGGACACTTGGGTGAGAACTATGCCTACTTATGTGAGGCATAAGCTCACAAGGCCAGAACAAGAAGTTGTAGTGGCTGCCTCCTTTTTAGAAGGATCAGCAGCCCGCTGGTTAAATGGCTTAGTGCAGCAACAGGGCTACAGTCAAAACTTTGATGCCTGGGCACAATCCCAGACATTGGAAGAGTTCATACGGTCCGTATACAACAGGTGGCATGACCCACAAGGTGCTCAAAAGGCCACTGACGCTATCAGCAGTCTTTGTTCCCGAAGGTTCAAGAATGTTAGAGAGCTGACGGACGCAGTAGAACGACTAATCGTGGTACCTGGAGTGCGTTTTGACCAGCAGGTTCTCCTAACGGATTACCTAAGGTGCCTACCGTCAGAGGTAAGGACCAAGCTGGTTGACGAAGCCTATGTTGAACAGCACACCTTCGCTTCTTTTAGTAAGAAAGCTCTGGACATCGAGGCAAAGCTAGGATCTGCGCATCAGGCCCCCAACGATGGTAGGAAGAGACTGCCCCAAGATTGGAAGAAAAAGGGTCAGTTAATGTTCGTTGACCACGATGGTCAAACGACGGAGATTGACGACTAGTCAGATCTTGGGGAGTTCACAGAGCACGATGGGGGTGGTGAGACTTCAGATGGTGGAGTCGTGGCACCCATTAAGGAAAAGGCTAGGGGGACCGGGAAGAAGAAGGTAGKACGGTCCACGGGTCAGGGCGACCAAGGAACACCCGCATGGGTGAAGATTGGTTTAGAGTATGAGGTGTGGCGTGACCGCGTTGCTAGGGGTACTTGCATGAACTGTGGCCATTATGGTCACACGTCCAGGACTTGCCGCGGCAAGAAGGTCACCACGAAGGTAGCCTCACCAACGGTGGTGGGTCTATCTTCGAACCCTGGGAGTGCTTCTGCGAGCAGCTCACAGGGAAACACCTCGGGCCAGTAGGAGTTGCCTTCCCCACTTCAGGCGTTGGCCAAGGCTAGTGACCCACGCATCGCCCCGCAGACACATTCAGACCCAACGACGCTCTCTTCGAGAGATGTGTCTGAGACCCTAGAAGAGTTAGAGACTGAGTGGTCAGGGAAGGACCCCAGGGACTCCTGGGCGATGATCAGTAGAGGTCCAAAGGGTGAGCATTTCGTGGTAGAAGTAGATGTAGGTGGCCGCAAGGTTGGCGCCTTCGCAGACATAGGCTCTACACGAAATTTCATCAGTCGTGCTTGTGTGGATAAACTGCGCTTAGGGGACCAAGTGCAGCGGCTTAGCAGAACTGTAGCTTCTATGCTAGCCAACAAGCACAAGATGGTAGTACAGGACTATGTCAAGGACGTAGCCTGTACCTTCTCCTATGGAGGAGGGGAAGTGATCCACAAGATCTCATTCCTTGTGAGCGCCGAACTACCATTCGACATGTTACTAGGCATGTACTACCTCGAAGTTTCGCAACCTCAGTTTGACTGGGATAGAAAGGTGTTGATCCACAAATTGCCCAATGGTAGAACTGTTAGATTGTAGAAGTACAAAGCTAGCAGTCTAATAGAGAACTACGGTTGTATGTGCGCTTCATCCTTCTATAACTATTATAAGCAGAATCAGGAGGAGGGCATGTATCTAGTCTTTGTCTCTGAGAAAGGGGACGCCGTTAAATCACCCCCAGAGATAGAAAGAGTCGTCTCACAATATTCAGACGTTTTTGAGGAGCCCACAAGCGTGGTAGAAAGGGAGGTTGTCCATGCAATAGAGGTTGTCCCAGGTAGTAGGGTGCCTAGAGGACGAATCTATAGGATGTCTCCTGCGGAGTTAGATGAGCTTCGCCGCCAGCTCAAGRAGSTCACAGAGAAGGGATGGATACGGCCTAGTACCTCCCCTTACGGTGCGCCAGTCTTATTTGTTCCTAAGAAGGGAGGTCCATTAAGGATGTGCATTGACTATAGGGGCCTCAATGCCATCACCGTTACGAACGCGGAGCCCCTACCCCGCATTGACGACCTCTTGGATAGAGTGCAGGGATGTCGGTACTTCACGAAGATAGACTTGAAGTCCGGATACCATCAAATTGCCGTTAGGCCTGAGGACCAACACAAAACCGCATTTCAGGCCAGGTACGGTCTGTACGAGTTTGTGGTGATGCCTTTTGGCCTATGCAATGCGCCTGGTACGTTCCAGCACTCGATGAATAGGATCTTTCATGACTACTTGGACAAGTTTATCGTCGTGTACCTCGACGATATTCTCATCTTTAGTAGGACTGTCAAGGAGCATGCTGAGCACTTGAAAACAGTGTTAGGGATCCTAAGACAACACCAATACAAGGTAAACTTGGATAAATGCGAGTTTGGTCGCACCAAGATCTTGTACTTGGGTCATGAAATTTCAGCGGATGGATTGAGGCCGGAAGATGCGAAGGTGGCCAGCATACGTGACTGGCCCAGACCTCAAACAATTACTGAGGTCAGATCGTTTTTGGGGATGACGGGCTATTATCGTCCGTTTGTGAAGAACTATAGTACTATTGCTTCCCCATTAATGGATCTAACTCGACTTGACACCCCTTGGGAGTGGACTGAAGAGTGTGAGGCGAGCTTCAAGAAATTGAAGTATGATCTGACGCACTACGAAGTTCTCAAACTTCCTGATCCTGACAAGCCATTTGTTGTGACCACAGACGCCAGCCAATATGGCATAGGCGCGGTCCTTGCGCAACAGGAAGGACCCAAGTTGAGACCGATCGAGTACATGAGCAAGAAGATGCCATCTCATAAGTTGGCTAAGTCCACTTATGAGAGAGAGCTCTACGCCCTGTACAGAGCGCTAGTTCATTGGAGACACTACCTTCTAGGTAGATTCTTCTATGTGAGATCTGACCATGAGACTTTGCGCTGGATTAAGACACAGCCTGTGTTGTCAGACGCACTCAAGAGATGGATTCAAGTGATAGACATGTATGACTATCAACTTGATCCTATCAAAGGTACGTACAACAAAGTGGCTGATGCGCTATCAAGAAGGGCAGATTATCTGGGCGCGCTAGTTACCGAGTTTGGCATATCTGATGAACTCACTCGATCGCTGGTGGAAGCCTATCAGGGAGACCCAGTCATGTCAGAGATCATGCGTAGATTCAAGGCAAAGGATAAGAAGACTTTGGACGAGTTTACAATGGTAGATGACTTGCTGTTTCTTGACAAGGCAGGGAATAAAAGACTATGTGTTGCTAATAGCGAGTCTTTGCGTAGTTTATTTTTAGGTGAATGTCATGACGCAACTGGTCATTTTGGTTACAGAAAGACATCAGCGAACTTAGTCCAGAGATTTTGGTGGCCTTCTATGTTAGAAGATGCGAAACGTTATGTGGAAACCTGCCAGGTTTGTCAAAGAGATAAACCAAGGACTCAGGCTCCGCTTGGGTTAATCAAACCCTTGCCGATCCCTCAAGGACCAGGTCAGAGTGTGTCCATGGATTTCATGGATACCCTTGTGACCAGCAGGACGGGGAAGAGACACATCTTTGTCATAGTGGACCGCTTTACCAAGTACGGCAGACTAATCGCTATGCCTGAAACTGCTAAAACTGACCTCGTCATCAAACTATTCATGGACAATTGGGTTAGGGACTTCGGTCTACCTACATCTATTGTTAGTGATAGGGATGTAAGATTTACAAGTGAGCTGTGGCAGACCGCTGCTGAGCAAATGGGCACAAGGCTCCAAATGACGTCAGGGAATCACCCTGAGTCAAATGGCCAGGCAGAACAAATGAACCGGGTAGTGCAGCACCTACTAAGGCATTATGTTAAGCCTAGTCAGGATGACTGGGACGAGAAGTTACCTCTCGTCGCCAGCCTGTACAACAATGCTGTGCACAGCATCACCGGTATGACTCCCAACCAGTTACATCTTGGTTGGAAGCCCAGATCTGCGCTTGACTTATTGCTACCAGAAAGACAACCCACTGCAGCACCTGGCAGCATAGAGTTTGCTGTCAAGTATGAGCAGATGCTGCAACAGGCCGTGGAACATATTCAGAAGTCTCAAGATGCTATGATTGCATCTGAGAACAAACATAGACGGCCTTCTAACTTTCAGGTAGGTGAGAGAATCTGGGTGAAATCATCTGAACTGGGACAGGAGATAGGAATCTCAAGAAAACTGATGCCTCAGTTCTTTGGGCCCTGGGAGGTCTTAGACATTGTAGGAGATCAACCAGATGGTCCTTCATATGTAATCCGCATCCCACCTCACTTGCGTACTTACCCTGTGTTCCATGCCTCTAAGTTAGCACCCTTTGCTGCTACTGAGCAGTTCCCTTCTAGAAGATCAATGCTGCCCCCAACCATGGATGGCAAAGTGGACATTGACCAGATCGTCGAGCATCGAGTGATGCCTGTCCCTCGACCATCAGGCAGAGGGCGACCTCCAAAACCAAGGATGCAGTATCGTGTGAGCTTCAGACATCATCTGGATCCTAAAGAAGATCGGTGGTTCACACGAGAAGAACTCATGAGAACAGCACCTCAAGTCATCGTAGGCTATGAAAGAGCACTCAAGGGAAAGATGCCTGCAAAATGAAAGACTTCTCAGAGGACTCACGAAGTAATGGAGGAGGGAATGCGAGGATCAGGGTCCTCGGTAGGCCTATGGGCCCCTGCTTGCAGCATTACCCGCCCTAAGTGAAGGCGGAGGTGCCCGCCCTAAGTGAAGGCGGGCCTGGCTTTTTGCAAAAGGCCCTCGACTGTCAATTTCATATTTGGGGTCCAGGCAGTTGCGACGCGCCAGTTGGTTGAGAGAAACACAGGCCGCGCAACCCAGACATTTCCAAKGCCCTCCGGGCATTTCCAAAGAATGCAGGCCSTGGGCGTGATTCRCAGCCTCATACAGAGACAGTTGGGCGCCCAACCGAACGAGGCCCAGGCCAGCCCAGTAGCTGCTGCATCCAGGCAGCATCCTGGGGCCTTCCGGAAGCTTCTGGGCCCAGGCCAGCGCAGCCAGGCTGCAAGAGCAGCCCAGCTCTTTCCATAAAGGAAAGAGCTCTGGCCAGGCCAGGGCATTYGGTCACTKGCTGGCTGGYGGTAGCGCTGCTGGAGCGATTGCTCGMAGGCTGACTGCCGGCATTGGAGCAAGAGGCTGCGCACGTGCGGTCGTGTAAGGGAGAGGGCGCTGCTGAGGGCAGCGCCATAGCCAGCCTCCAWAGCKGGCTTGGCTTGGATACAGAGTGAGGCGCAGGGGTGGTCTTCGGGGGACAGAGAGGACAGGTGTGGGTGAAGTCAGGGGATAGGCGAAGGATGATGATGATGATGATGATGATATGAGAGCACTTACCTTGTATTGGCGATGGTCTGCATGGGCGGCATCTTCAAGTACTTCGGGCTGCTGCTGATGTCAACAGTTGCATTGTCTTTTTGTAGTCTGTAGGAGCTGTGTAGGAGTAGGCTGGGCGCTGAGCGCCAAGTGTGAGTGTGAAGAACTGGACTCTTGTGTTGAGAGGAGAGATCATGCTCTCCATGGACATTGGTATTCAGTGCTATGAACCTCCATTGGTGTATTATTGGTGCAATGCTGCTCTCTGGACACGGTGTGACTATTTGGATTGCCATGTGATGGTGTGATCTGGGATTGTCATCTCGCTGTTGCTTATTTTCCTTGCACTAGGTAGTTTCAGTCCAAAACCACTGAACATCCTTTTTTCTTTTTTTTTCTTTTTTTTCTTTTAAGATCCCTAGATAACTGTATAATATAATCTCAGGAAATTGGCTAACATTGAATTTTAGTTAGTATAGGTTTCTTCAACTTTCTTGACAGTTTTTAATTTTTTTTTATAGCTGTGTAATTTCGATAACTCTATAATATTTCAGTAAAAGGTAGAATAGCATAGTATTTCAGGCAGGGCTTCTGTTCCTGAAGTTTATCAGGGACCTTTCCCACGGGGGTCGCTTTCTCCGATTGTATGGTTGTATCTGGTTCCTGCATTACGAGTTACTTCTTGTAGATTTCTTTCTTTCTTTTTTGCCTTTTTCAGTTTATGATTTTCTCTGTTTTCGCAGCTCTATTAGAAAGAACAAGGTAGGATGGATGGGCTCATAGCGTTTTACTGTTTACTGGGCAGGACCTGGGTACTTTAACTAGTCTCCCGCTGCGGCTGCCCGAAAGTGACCTTAAGAGGTTATGTTTCTCGGTTCCTCTTATTCTTGTATCTTGCATGCTTGCCGGTGATAAGTAACCGGACTGGTTCCCCCCAGAATACAAAGGGGTTGTGTCCCCCCCCCCCAAAAAAAAAAAAAAAAAAAAAAAGACCCGAGTTCACATCCAGGTGGAACTACATTAATGAATAGAACGAAATAATATTTCATGAATTAAATGAGGCTGTTCAGTTCAAGGATGATATTCTTTTTGGCCGTCACCCCTTTTCTTTTTGTTTAAACAAAAAAGAGGATCTGCTATTATACGCACTTCAGAAGATCCACAAATTCTTTTGCATTCTGTGGAGTTGCTGACTGGGTATCCCTGTCTGCCGTTGCTTATAACGAAGGGTTCCTTGAGGTCAGCGACAATCTGCTTGCTTGATAACCAAGGGTTTATGCATGGGTACAGCCAGGGTTTATGCATGGTAAAGCCAGGGCTTATGCATGGGTATAGCCAGGGTTTATGGATGGTATAGCCAGGGTTTATGCATGGGTATAGCTGATCCAAGGTTTCCTTGAGGTCAATGGCCATCCTCTTGCTTGATAATCAAGGGCTTACGCATGCTCTTCTAGTTGTGTCAAATGCTCGTGTGACTCACACCTTTTTGTAATATGGTTCATGCTTTGAAGAAATGCATGACGGCTGCAGAAGCTACCTCCTATGGTGCCGTACAGATAGGCCAGGTTCAGGCTCGGCGATGAGCGCAACGTTGCTCCTCGACCTGTTGAAAAGAGATTTGAAAAATGGGTTTGCCCTAGGGCCACTGAATCATTAGAAATCGATCTTCATCTCTTTGCACCCTTTTCCTCTCACTCCTCATACGGCAGTTTGTACTTTTCCAAATTTGCCCCTCTTTTTCGCCTCTAGAGATCCCAGGTAATCCATTCATTTCAGTCCGCAGTAAACGACTTTTCTAGTTCACTCGTGTTTCTGATGCCTCCATGGACTCCGCCGGCAGAGGAGGAGTATGGGGAGACAGTTTGGTGGTGGGATGGCACAGGCCTGCCATGACCCGAAGAAAAGATGTATGATGGAAAGTTCCTTGGCGGACAACCTTGGGCGAGCAAACATCTTCCTAGGTTGAAAAATGGGCCCAGACGGCTGAGGTTTGACTACTCCAGTGTTGGGCAAACCATATAGGTTTGAATAAAACTAGGTTTAGGGCCCCTGGTAGTGTTCCTGTTGGTGTTCTGCCCATGTTGCCTAAGAGAGCCACTTGTTGCTATTGTAGATTTTATAACCGAAATTGTGGGCCAGGGCATGGGCATTTTGGGGACCGGACCAGTTGTGGCCCCTGTGGGCCATAAACTCATGGGCTGATCCTTAAACCGGTAGTACACGGCCCCAGCCTTGCAGAAAGTTTTTGTCGCCACAAGCRAAACTCGGAGGCGCCGCGCAGCCAGGCCCGCCGYTGAAARAAAAAATTGGCGGCCTCCGAAGTGGTGCGGGCTTCTTGCTGACACCCGCGGGCCGACATGTGGTGTACTGGTGCTTTAAGATGGGATTTATGGCCCACAACTGGAATTGTGGGCCAGGCCATGGGCATCTTAGGGACCAGACCAATTGTTGACCATCAACCCCATGGGCTGGTCCCCAGTCTGGTTGGTACCGGTTGGGAGGCGGGATGGGACCCGAGGGCTACACTGTGGCCTAGAGTGTAGTGCTGTTTTTTGTTGTTGTGAGTCATTATTCAGAGTGAACTGTTTATGATAGCTACCATCTTCACCCGAATACAACGCCTAGTCATTATGTTTGTATCTGGTCTGAAAATTGTACCAAATGCAGTTATAATGTCCGGGTGTTCTATTTGGGTAAACACGGTAGTCTGGTGTCTGTGTTCTGTTCATGGTGTGTGAGATGTGTGAGGGTATACTACCACCATTTTTTTATTTGGATAGGTTTTGTTTTGGCTTTTTTTGGAGGTTTCCAGAGTCCTTTTTTTTATTGTAACAGTTTTGGTTTTGTTTAAACTCGTAGGCAGCTTGATAGCCTGTTGCTTAATGAAAGCCTCCTAGCTATAGGTCTCCTGCATGTCAAGTTAATTGTACGCACTGACCTATAGGCGCTGACCTGTTGAAGCCACCGTGTGGGCGTTAAATTGCCGGGCCTCCATCTGCTGGTGGGGAGGGGCACATTGCTGGCAGATGGATTGGACCCAGCATCCCCTATACATATACACCTCTTAAGTTTTAAGTTTTAACCCATTTACACCTCTTAACGCCTTTGAGCCAGCATCCTCTGTACGTATGCTCGTTTTAACCCTTTGACCCAAAACCAGCCCTCTTCAGCCTTACTCTTGGCTGCCTGAAGTGCAAATTTCAAATTTCAAATTTCAAATTTCAAAGTTCAAATGTCAAATTTCAAATTTCAAATTTCAAATTTCAAATTTCAAATTTCAAACCAAGACCGGCTTTGGTTTTAACTTTTAACAGACTTAGCGGATAACTACATAGGTATAGGGATACTGGGGGAAAAGGTAGAAACCAGGGGATAGGTCAGAGTAGGGTTGGTGGTAGCCTGTTAGGGTTGGGTAGACTTGTGGTAGGTGTTCTCATCCACATCATGGGCAATTCATGACAAGGTTTAATTTGGCAATCCTCCTTCAGTATAAAATGTTGTTCGCAAAAGTTTCGACAACATTGCTTATAGTGATGCGGCGAAACCCCCCAGATTTTGGGCCTTCCGTTAACCGCTAGTGGACTGAATTGGAATTTATTCCTGTCAATAAAAACCAGCCAGAGAGGAGACTTTGACGGCACGGCTGGCAGTAACCTTTACATGTCGTCGTCCATCAGCCATCTCCTTCAGAGTCTCTGGGCCTTGTCACACAACACACAAAAATGGGAAAAAAGAGCAAGTTGCAATGACTTGCTGATTTCTACTGCCGAGATTGACTGCGAGGCTGTACACTAACCTGTAGGGTTAGATTCGTAATTTTGTTTGGCTGAGGGCTAACCGAGAGACCTGCCTGTGAGGAAATTCGTGAGGGACAGATCTGCAAATCCGGGAAAATACAGGCCCGGTACTAATCCGAATTCCTACAGCTACCCTAACTGCCTATAACAGGCCCGGGCTACCCTAGGACAGACAGGCCCTAAGTGGCCTATACTGCTATACGGTCCTATAGCCTATAGCCGGGTCCGGTAGAGGTCGAGAGGCCGAAACAGCAACGGTACCGGTCGGTCAGTCAGTCCGGTCTAGGTCTAGAGAGTCTATAGATAGGTTAGGCCCACCGGTTCAGGACTTTTGGCGGTTCATTTCTCGCGACACAGTGTTGGAGAAGCCAAGCGAGTTGGGGGCGGTTCCGGTCTACAGGCAGCATCCTGAGACAGACCGCAACAGCAGCCATAGCCGGCCTCACTGAGTCTGCCATAGCTGGGGCATCCTCAGCGCATCTACCCCAGGGGGTATCTGCGTATGGCCGAGCTGGATCGAGGCTCTACAGTGGTGCTTCGTGGGTGGTGGCAGCCATAGCTGCCTGTTCCTTCGTCAGAGTTGTCCATCGGCACTGAAGACTCCATCGCAGGACCTGTTCTTCATCAGGGTGGTTGGCGCTGGCCTCCGGGAGGCTGTTTTGATGCAGCGCTACTAACTGGGTGTAGGATAGAGAGTGGGGTGTGAGTTCTGAGTGTGGCGAGATACTGGAACAAACTCTGTTACGATAATTGTGTGAGTGGCTCATCATCAGTGTCAKTTTCAATTGTGATCTTCGCAGGTTCTTTCTTGTGATTGGTTGTTGGGAGTTGTGTCAGAGAGTGAGAAACACTGTGTGTCTTCTCCCCACCTGTGCATGTYTGTCTTCCGCTGCTTATTTTCACCKGTGTGCAGTGTGGACTCTGTCTCCTCTCTCCCCTTCTCTTATGCATGTATGGGCATGTGTGAGATTGTCTGTGTGTGAGTGGCGATAAAATTCGTCAGACAACCAAGTTCATAACAAAGTGCATCTTGTGGCAGAAGGTGGCCTGATACTTCCGCTGTTTCTATTCGTAGTAACTGATGTATCTTGCCTTCATCTGTGGGAAGATGCACTCTTTTTTTTTTTGTTCTTTCATTTCGTGTGCTGTGTGGCGAGGCCCTCTCGAAGGAAGAGTGGTCACATCGATTGCACCGCAGTTGTACCACAGGGCATACACACACTAGGACTTTCCAGGATGTATTTGCCCAGAGAAGAACGATCAGATTCTGTTGAAAAAGTCCTAATTTGAATGGAGTCAATGGACACTTCTAGCAAGCTAGTGTAACCTATTCTATACTCCGTCCTACACATACGATTCTCGTACACATATATGATCACATCCTGCTCTTTGCATCATGCTTTTCCGATTGCCATCCTATCGCAAGGCAGTGAAAACTGTGAAACCATCAGATCCTGTACCCTGCGTCAAAAGCATCATGCTTTTGAGGTGATGAAGGCATGCCAGCACAAATTTTGAGGTTCTGGTTGGAATGTGTGATTTTGAACACGAAATATATTTTGTAACTTTATGCCTATTCACACAAGACAAGATTTTGTTGATGTATGCAGAAAAGTATGAGAGAGAGGCGAGGAGGAATTGGGATTTGTTCTACAAAAGACACACCGACAAGGTCCGTCTACATAGTACACACTGTATTGCCCCTGCAAAATCCTTGCACACTTCGTCTGCCCTGTTTTCAACTTTCAAAAGGAAGTTTAAATAACTTGTGCAGAAGCTCCAAAAACACACTACAAAAGCTCCCTCCCTAGGACTCCAAGCTCCCCACAAATGTTCTGACTTTTTTAATGTTCAAATTGTAAAATTGTCCAAGATTTCCTCGACTTCCCTTCTTCTTTCTTCTTCTTTCCTCCTCTAGTTCTTCTTCTTTATTCTTTCTTCTTTCTTTTTCTTCGTCTTTCTTCTTCGTCTCTCTTCTTCTTTCTTTCTTTCTTTCTTTCTTTCTTTCTTTCTCTCTTTCTTTCTTTCTTTCTTTTCTTTTTCTTTTTTTTCCAAAGGAAAATGCCCCTTCTATTCTGGGGAGCGGCAGTCCGGTTCACCTCCACTGGCAGGAAAACAGAAGCTCATACACACGCTTCTTACCGTCATTGCTAGATTGACAACGGGTAGTTGTGGCCTGTGTGAGCGGCCCTTGCCATTCTTGAAGGGGAAGTGTTGGGATTTGGGCTGAAGTGGTTGCTCGTGTTTCTTTTTGACGATTTCCTGTCTTCTTGGTGTGCTATGAAAGTCTAAATGGGAGGCTTGATGATTAAGGAGGTGCCGAGCCCCCGGGTGTGCTCAGGCTGGCAACACAGCGTTTCCTTTTCGCTTGTTCTTCCTGTCTGGGATGGTAATAATATCTCTCCCTCCAGAGGATGAACAGGTGCCAACAGTTAATCCTTCCCCTGAGGAATCAATTAATGCTGATTGGCCGAGTGACTTGTAGTGACTTGCCATTGCTAGATTGACAACGGGTGGTTGTGGCCTGTGTGAGCGGCCCTTGCCATTCTTGAAGGGGCAGTGTTGGGATTTGGGCTGAAGTACTTGCTCTTGTGTTTCTTTTTTATGATTTCCCGTGTTCTTGGTGTGCTACAAAAGTCTTTAAGGGAGGCTTGATGATTGAGGAGGTGCGGAGTCCCCGGGTGTACTCAGGCTGGCAACTACGTAGACACTTACGATAGCATCACGATCATCCCAACCTTCTTTCCATCTTCACTGTCATGTTCCTCGTACTGTCGGAATTTCTGATGTCTGATGTCGACTGCCAATAGCAAAGACGCCAGTACTGTTTCCGCCAGCACCGCTTCCGCAAACTCTGCTTCCAGTATCATGCCTTCAACGTGAGTATGGCCGCAGGACGAGTCCGGTTGTTGTTGTTGTTGTTGTCGTTGTCGTCGTCGTCGTCGTCGTCTATATCTTCTCTTGCTTTGACTGCCGTCGGAAGTCCTTCAGCACACAATGAACTTCACAGCAGCCAATGTTCCGTCATTGGAGGTGAACTCCATTGGGAACAGTATTCAGTGCAGATCTACGAAACATAGCTGTAAAGTTACTGGAGGTTCAACTGCAGATTGCCTGCAAAGGCCAGCGGAATAAATTAGCACTAGAATCAGTCTTGCCTGCAAGGGCCAGTGGAATAAATTAGCGCTAGAATCAGTCTATTTCATAAGCATCTAAGTCAAACAGTCACGGTGGAGTCTCTTTATCACTGCAAACAAGAGGCCTTACCTGGTAGGGTACCACTCTCGGGCACCAGTTGCAGGTACGAGCCTCGAGTGACAGTCTAAGGTATGAATCTCGAGTATCAGTCAAGGGTCTTTTTGGGGTTCTGTATCACTCCAAAATAGTGACCTTACCTGGTAGGGTAGGGTACCAGTGTTGGGCACCAGTACGCGCCTTGGGTAACAATTCCGGGTACGTGTCTCGAGTACCGGTCTAGGGTCTTTTTGACATTCCGCAGCCCTCCAAAATAGAGGTCTACCTGGTATGGTAAGGGTACCGGTCTCGGGTACAAGTCTGGGACACCAATGTGTGGTCTTTTGGACCTCAGAGAACCCCAGACCCCAGAAGCCAACACCCGGAAAAATGAGGCCTGAGGAAAGTCAACAGGTGTGCCAGAGGGCCGAGGCCAGAGAGAATCTGATCCGTCCAAATTTCTCCAAAATGTTTCAGTCCCGATGAGCAGCACACACAGTTTCATCTGCAGGCTTCCGAGGTCAGCGGTGACGGTCAGCTTTGCCTCGACCTGCGTTTTCCGGCATCAAGTTGAGCTGTTCAAAGCAATGCATCTCATCCGTGCACTCGGTCCAAGTGTGCAAGAGAAGCCAAAGTGTGAAATACTTTCCTGGGCAGAATCCTATCCATCCAAAGGTCGACGGAAGGCCCTGCGCACATTTGTACCCAGAGGCATGGGCCTCACCTCAAGCTGCGTTTTCCAGCGTTGATGTGGACCGTTAGATGCATTGCATCTCATCCGTTCACCCACTTGTTTTCGGCTCCTGGCGAGTCAAAGTATATCTGCAGGTTCTACCGTGTTGATCGATGATTCTGTTGCTTTCTGATCCGTATGGCAAAGAGCAATCAATAGTGCTGCTCCTCTCCTGCGGCTGCCAAGGCAAGGAGGGAGTGTCGGGAGCCCAGAAGCGATTGCTTGTTACGAGGAAGTCAAGGGTAGAGACCGTCGAGCAGACGGGTAGCATAGCTAGCAGGGGCTATAGGATTAGTGGCTAGGACAGAGAGGCGTCGCTCCTGATGAGACAGTCTTGGCAGGAGAAGGAGCCATAGCTTAGCTGAAGATGGATGGGACTGGTAGTCCCAAGTTGGACTTGCAACTCCAATCGAACGATGGGCTGGGGAAATTGTCACATTGGAGCTGAGCTGTATTGAATTGGCACTGGGACTTTCCTGGATGTACCTGACTGCACCTGCGACTGCACTCAGTTAAGGATGCAAGTAGATCAATGGAGACCTAGAGGTTAATGCTCTTTGATGTGGGCACTTAGGTCACACTCCTAACACTAGGACTCTCATGGATGTATCTGACCGAAACTGTCACTAGATTCAGTCAAGGATGGAAGTAGATGAGACCATAGCTGCAGATGGATGGAACCAGCAGCCATAGCCACCAGGTGCTGATACTGGAAGTGATTCTCACCGGCAGCATTGATCTTCTTCCTCTTCTTCTTCTTCTTCTTTGTTTTCTCTTTTTTGGTTTTGCGCCATGCATTGACCATCTTCACTCCATGGGAGCTGCTTTTGCTAGGAGAGTGCACTGATCAGGGTTATTGAGTGTTTTGGAGGGTTTGAAGCATTGCTGGACAAGGAAAGAGTGAGGGGAACTGAAGTTTGGGGAACTTTGGGGGTTCACTTGGGCTATAGGACTACAGCTTTTTGGCCACTGGACTAGCAACTACTTTGTGCATTCAGGTTATTATTTTACTGTTTGAAGTTGTTGATGAGTCTTTGATGGACTTTTTTTCCAGTCTCTGATCCATGCTTGAAAGTGCTACTCTCTTCCAAGTGTCTGTAATTCTTGCTCGCAGTTAGATGATGATGAATGCTTGCTGTCTGGTTGCTCGCAAGATTGCTTCTGAATCGGATCCCTTACAATTTTTTTTTTCATTTCCCATTATTATTGACTTATTAAGTCATACCTGCGGCGCTCAGGTGCGGTACGCGAGGTGGCACAGGGCGCTATGCGCGACCCCCCGGTGCGCGCACACCGCACCTGAGCGCCGCGCACACATTTTTATTTTTCTTTCTTTTCTTTTCTTTTCTTTTCTTTTCTTTTCTTTTCTTTTCTTTTCTTGTGTGTGTGTGTGTGTGTGTGTGTGTGTGTGTGTGTGTGTGTGTGTGTGTGTGTGTGAGAGAGAGAGAGAGAGAGAGAGAGAGAGAGAGAGAGAGAGAGAGAGAGAGAGAGAGAGAGAGAGAGAGAGAGAGAGAGAGAGAGAGACGTTGCAGAACACGACGCACCCTCATCAGAGAAAAAAACGAGCCCTTACTAAGGGGGCTTGCGCACTAGCTATATCTTAAATGTATCTGGGCTTATTTACGGCCCAGTGTGGATGTATACGACCGCAATTACATCCAGAAATAAGTAATGAAGTCCTAGTGTGACAGGGCGTACTCACACTAGGACTTTAGTACATATTTCTGGACCTAATCGTGGTCGTGTACATCCACATCGGCCCTTGAATGGACCCAGATGCATTTAAGGTACAGCTAGTGCGAGCGCACCCTCACTAAGGGCTCTTCTTTTCTCTGATGCCGCAAAACGTCCTTATCTGGAAAACAATTACGTCCGATATGTCATCCTTCTGCAGGGGCCGTTCGCTCTGACTGGTTCCACGTCCAATGGATGACCAGAAGGACAGGTTTCAGCCCGCTTCAATGAGTACGATGCATCCTCACTATGACGGTATCCGACTCCAAAAGGGAGGCTTACATACATTCAGCTTTCCGTTGGACTCAGACAGTGTACGGCCCTCGCTCCACTACTCTCCAAATGTGCAAAATGAGAACGATTTTTTTTTCTAGAACATGGAAAGATACATGGTCATATTTTTTGTCTTTTGTCCATGTGGAGAGCAGTGGAGTGAGGCCCTATACCGATGTGCAGAGGCCGGTCCCTGAAAAGGATTTTGCGAGACAGTTTTAGGATTTTCTACTGGTATGGGGTTGGGCCCTTTTTGGGACCTCTATTTTTGCAGGTGTGCCACATCAAGTGCGCGTGCTGCATGCGCTGTGCGGAATGCGCCGCACGAGTGCGATGCAGCACATCTCGATGCACCGCAGGTATGCTTATTATCCATTTCCAATCTTCATGTGATTGCATCTGGATTCGAACTCGGATCTGTATTTCAATGGGTGTACCAACTGAGCTAGGCCCATTATCCGTTTCCCATTGTTAAAATCCATTTCCCAGTTAATATCCGCAATGAATTGCCTTGCATGGATAATATTATTAATATATTTAATGAGTTTGATGACTATACACTCTATACAGTTTACACTGTACACAGACTTCACAACTGGGGCTCAGACCACTTTGTTGACAGGGGAGTCACATGTTTTTTTTTGTTTAATTATAATTTTTATGTTGATAACTTGATAATCAACATGATTAGGTCATATGCCTTGCTTTTTGGTTGCTAGCAATAGTGCTTAAGTTGATGGCACAGCATATGTTGGCCTCGTCGAAAGCTTGTTTCCTTCGGATTCTTCGCAACAACCATGGCAGTTGCTACAATGTGTTGCTTATTAATATGTTTTATTGATAGTTTTCTCTCTGTGGACATGTTGCAATGACAGTTCTTCAAGGATCGCCACTATTTGCACCACGAGTGGGGAAAATTTCTTACAGTGTCGGTAAGCACAGACAGCAATGAATCCACCCATCCATTAATCCATCTGTCCATCTCCCTCTCTGTGGCCCGCTGTCCCTCTGTCCCTCCATCCCTGCATCTGTGCATGACCTGTCTGTCTGTTCGCCCGTCAATCCATTCATCTGTCTATCTGTCCATCCATCTGTCCGTCCATCCGTCCATCCTCACTTCATCTGTCTGTCCATCCTTACCTCCATCCCTCAGCACCTCATTTCCTACACCATCTATCCTGTCATCATCTGTATGTCTATCCATCTATCCATCTATCCATCCCTCCCTCCATGTGTCCATCCATCTGTCCCTCCATCCCCCTGTAACCCGTTTCCTCTACCCTGTCCCTCAGCCCATCCATCTTTCCCTCTCACTATCCATCCATATGTCTCTCTTTCAATCCATATGTCCCTCCGGCTATCCATCCCTCCATCCCTCCATCCCTCCATCCCTTCCTCTCTCCCTCTCTTCCTCTCTCCCTCTCTCCCTCTCTCCCTCTCTCGTTCGCTCCCTCCATCCCTCCATCCCTTCCTCTCTCCCTCTCTCCCTCTCTCCCTCTCTCCCTCTCTCCCTCTCTCGTTCGCTCCCTCCATCCCTCCATCTGCTCATCCATCCATCCCTCCACTTAATTGGGTGACTCTGCAAGCACCTTTGTGGGAAAATGATTGTGCAATGACTTGCTGATTTCTACTGCCGAGATTGACTGCGAGGCTGTACACTAACCGTTAGGGTTAGATTCGTAATTTTGTTTGGCTGAGGGCTAACCGAGAGACCTGCCTGTAGGGAAATTCGTGAGGGACATACCTGCAAATCTGGGAGAATATAGGCCCAGTACTAACCCGAGTTCCTACAGCTACCCTAACTGCGTATAGCAGGCCCGGGCTACCCCTAGGACAGACAGGCCCTAAGCGGCCTATGGTGATAGACTTTTGGCAGTTCATTTCTCGTGAAGGAGGGTTGGAGAAGCCAAGCAAGTTGGTGGCGGTGTCTGTCTGCAGGCGGTATCCTGAGACTTCGCCGTTGACAGCAGCCATAGCCGGCCCAGTCTGAGTCTGCCATAGCTGGGGCATCCTCAGCGCATCTACCCCTGGGGGTATCTGCATATGGCCGGGCTACATCGAGGCTCTACACTGTGTTCATGGGTGGTGGCAGCCATAGCTGCCCGTTCCTTCGTCAGAGTTGTCCATCGGCACTGAAGACATCATCGCAGGACCTGTTCTTCATCAGGGTGGTTGGCGATGGCCTCTGGGAGGCCATTCTGTATGGCGCTACTAACTGGGTGTAGGATAGAGAGTGGGGTGTGAGTTCTGAGAGTGGCGAGATACTGGAACAAACTCTGTTACGATAATTGTTTGAGTTGGCTCATCATCAGTGTAATTTCAATTGTTATCCTCGCCGGTTCTACTTGTGATTGGTTGTTGGGAGTGTGTCAGAGAGAGAGAAACACTGTGTGTCTTCTCCCCATCTGTGCATAGCTGTATCCCGCTGCCTACTCTGATCTGTGTGCAGTGTGGACTCTGTCTCCTCTCCCCCTTCTCTTATGCATGCATGGGCGTATATGAGATTGTCTGTGTGTGAGTGGCGGTAAAAATCGTCAGACAACCAAGTTCATAACAGTTGGTATCAGAGCGGGATTGGATTTGGAACACTGAGGGTTGAGCGCACTGGGGCATCTTCTTCATCTGGCGATATACTGGCGAGAGTTTCATGGCGATTCATCTTCCCCAGTACTGAGTCAGCAGGGAAGAAGACTTTCAGCGGTGGATTCAAGTGTTTAGTGGTTGCACTGAGCAAGCGCACTGAGCCTGTCAGGGCGCTTGGTAGGAAGTGGCGAGTACAGGGCTATTTTGCCATAGCCAACCCTGAGGGTAATATTGCGAATTACCGCAGAGTGGCTAATTACCCCTGACAACATCAGGGAACCCTGAGCGGCAGCATCCCTGGGTAGCGCTGGCAGAGATTGACAGTCTGTATCAATCTCCAGGAGAAATAACCCCATCTGGGGCTATTTTTAGCATCAGCAGCTACCAGGCACTGTGGCGAGATATTTTGGTGTTGGCTATCTGGGCGCCACATGACCAGATACAATGCATCTGGGTTGAGGGAGTGCAGCGCTACAGGATCCTGAGGAGGATCAACGAGTTTGAATGTTACGGACTTCGCCAGGGCTCGATCCCTGGTCTATCTTTTGCTGTTTCGGCTGCATCCCGTTTTCGGCCTGGCACCCTTGTTCCAAACCCCTCCTTTGGTACCGTAGGATTTTGGACAACTGGCGCCATGCTGCAATTCGGGCGCCACTTTCAAATACTGCATTTTTCAGTTCTG